GAGCTAAAGACACAAAATAGTACTGATGACACTTATGCACTTGAGGGCACTAATATCATCTTGAGCTGTGAAGCTGTTGGAAACCCTCTTCCTGTGTATAGCTGGATTTGTGATGGGAATAACATGTTGGAGAACACAACCAGTCTCAATATCATTCGAGTAAATGGCAATAAAACCTGCACCTGCACAGCTACCAATTATCTGGGAAACATAACCAAGACAATCCATCTTCATGTTGAACCAAGAGGTATACATTCTTACTTCACATCTAAAATTGTGGATGATTTAGATGAAACTGCTGACTTATGTCTTATTTTTCACCAAATCATCTCTAACTCTGAATATATTTGCTTGTGAATGGCAGGTTGCCCCCTAACACTGACACCTTCTGAAACTGTTGTGAAATTTGGAGATCCAGTGTCAATCAACTGCAGCACATCAGCCAGATATGTTGAAGGAATGGGCTGGAAGGCTCCTGTTGGAGGTACAGGATTTGAGCGTCCTCCTGTTGTCACTTGGAGGGTTGAAAAACTAGAAGAGTGGACTTCAAGTCCTTCCTGCTATGCTACTTTGGTTGATGGATCCCAGTGTGCTGTGAGTCCAGTCATCACTGTTTACAGTGAGTACATGTGTACAACTTTGTTAGTGTATTATAAACAGCATGAACTGATAGTTTTTATATAATAAAGCAATGATTTCTCTTCCTGAAAGTGCCACTGTAAATGCTCAGATATGATGGTGGAGGCTGCATGGAAGTGATTCTAAGTTGTCCATAGGAGTGAAAGATTATCTCTTTCTATGTGATACCACTGTGACATATTGGTGACCAGCCCAGTGTGGACTCTAGCGCTTCCCTAATGACAGCTGCCCTTGGTTTATGCCCACAGAAGACTCTCAATTGAAAAGGAGAAGAAAATGGATGGATGGATGAATGGATTTTTAAAATAGATTTTTCTTTGCTCTGTTCACAGAAACACCAAACATTGTGTCAATATATCCACTGAATCAAAGTCAAATGATGGAGGAACAAGTACACATAGTGCCTTACAATAAAGACACGAGAACACAGTACTGGTTATGGTGTGACATCATAAATGTTGCTCCCGTTCAACACCTGACTGTGAGATGGTACAAAAATAATAAAACCATCCAGACAGAGTCTTTCAATGACACAACAACTAAAACACTGGTGAATGAGTCCTCTATTCTGAGAATTGACATCAGCAGAGAAGAAAAAGCCACTGAGTTCAGATGTGAAGCTGAGCTGGACTTTGGACCACATGGACTAAAACTTCCTGCCACTTCTCAAACACACAGAGTTTCAGCCCACTGTGAGTAAAAATGTTGAGGTTAACACATAAACAGAAGATTATTTAATTGTATTTTTAGACTAGATTAAACAAAAGTTCTATTCATTACAGCTTTCTATTATGTAAATGTGAAAATGATAAGAAAAACTGTCTCTTCAGATGCTCCTGAGATCAACACAAGTTGTACTGTTGACATCTCACCACTTGAGGGCACTAACATCACATT